TAACAAATCACATTGGACTATCAGGCAAAGAAGGTATATCTTTAATGAGAATTTTTCTTTGTAAAATTGGCTTTTGTTTATGTTAGCAGAGAAAAAAATCCATGACTTATACATGCAATCCTCAAAAGAATTTTGAGAACAGTTTTAAATGTTCATGAAGAATTAATTATACGTCAATTTCTTTTCATAGGTAGAAATTTCGTCTTAAACCATCGTTATATCCAAAAGTTGAAGTCTATTTCATTTTCCACAATATTTTATTTGCACATAATATATTTTCTAATTTTTTTTAGAAAGAGTAATCTTTCACGTTTTCTAAAGAATAAGGAAATATTGGGTGTTGACACAATGTAGTAAATCTGTTTTTCATATTTCTTCCAGTAATGAAAACGATTACCCTGCAATATTTTCAAAGCAAAATTAAGAAAACCGTTTACGCCAAATTTTGCATAAAGTATCTTCTCGGGTATTTTTTTTATTTAAAGTGTGGAATTTTCTCTTTGAAAATATCAAAAATCATGAAAGAGCAAAATTAATTCATGAGAAATAACTTTGAAATGCAATAATTCCATCGCAATATGAAATAGTGGGAAAAGTGCAATACAGTTTATTCACAAATAATCCCCCTCATATGCAATTTATGTACTGTCGATTGAGAAATATAGGTTAGTAAATTAAACCGGTTATTTCAATACTTTTCCTTTATCAATATTTTTATGGGCTCTTCAGTAGAGCGGTAAAGGTGGCTGAACACTTGTAGCTCGCTTGGGTTTGAATCCGGGATAAATAGTTGGATTCACAGTTTCTGTGCAACGTAAATGCAAGCCAGCTTCTCTTAGACAGTCCTCCGCGAAGGCATAACTCCCCTTATACAGGTAATTGTTGTATGCTTTGATGTAATTCAGTAAGCAAACAAAATTAATCCAATCAATACCGAAGAACGGATTCATTACATGTGGTTTCCCACCAGGAACGTAAATGTGAGCAATTTTCTCTTAAAAAGGTTTACACGAAAGCATCCATTCCCTTAAGCAGATAGCGTTCACGTGCTTTTCCGTAATCCAATCCTAATTTTCATACATTTAATAGTAAGTTGACATACACCTTATTACAGACAAAATAACAACCTTTTTTAAAGATATTTTTTATCAACTTGTCTGAATTCCCTCTATCTCTTGAAGAGTATAAGAATTTCAGCAAATAAAACTGGCCGAAATTTTATAAAATCTAACTGATGTTTTGATTCAATTTAGAAGTAACGTGAGCTTAACTGATATTTAAATACTTTTTGGCAGATCTCATCCTAAAAGAGGGTCTAAAGATAAATTGATTTTTTTAAAATTTACAATCAATGAAAATCATTGAAAGCAATCACTGAATGAATGAAAATCACAAAAACTATTATGCATACAATTGTCTCTTATTTATCTCCTGATAAATCAGACAAAATTGCCTGCATAATAGCACTTTGAAAGAGTTAACAGTTCTTAAGGGTTTTATGCACTCCACAAAAAAATGTCAAAATAAAATCTTATTATTCATAAGTATGAAAAGGAAGAAACGATAAAAGCTGTTTTACCTATTTTCTAGAAGGGCATTAAATCTAAAATATTAATCTATTCTTATTTGTTATGATTAAAAAAAACATTAAATATGGTAAGCTTAAAGAGCGTGCAAAATCGCTGACATTTTAAATCATAGCAAAAGTCAGTACTAAAAAATTAGCATTAAAAATTATTAGACAGATTGAGAAAATAGGTGGCCTCTATTTAATTTTCAAGTATATTGGCACGAGAACGAAACCTGCGGTTTTTTGCCAAAATGTAGCCAAACTGATAAGAAGAGGGAAATAACAGCCACTCTGAGCAGCGAAGGAACCCAAAGTCTACAGATGGCGATTCCTAAAAATGCTGGGATTGATACAGGAACCACAGGCAAAGGTTCTCCTGGTACAAGTCACCGGCCGTAGAAGCACCAGAACTGAGCACCCAGGAATCTGATCTTCTGCACCAGATTCTTTACCAAGCTTGTTTCACAGAGTAGCACAATACATCACTGCACCTGATGCCCGAAAAAACCATAGATTGTCATGAGACCTCATTCAGGTCAGGAGGGAAGAAGAGGGAGTCAATACAGCAAATGGTTTCCCATTTGGCCCTGAGTCACAGCTGAAGAAGAAAGGTTCAGAATCTTTCACTTTTGACTTGCTTATTCAAGCTTTTTGCTCTTAGAAGGCTGTGTGCATTGATGCTTCTGTGATTTTGAAATTATAACAAAAAAAAATGACATTTTAGGAAACTTATATGACCAAACCATTAAAATAAGAGGTTCAAAAGAAACGTTGAACTAACATATAAACATTATAATAACATTATTGATTACAGGAAAACTTATTCAATATGACTACAATTTAACATAAAAAACATGCATGGCAAATGTAGCATAACACTGGACATTGCAGCTGCCAAATGTGTTCAAAATCTTGCCAAAACTATTAAACTTTTATATTTATTAATTTTTTTTTCCAATTACTAACAAGAATTCAACAGCTAATGGCATTGCCTTTCCTGAATGCATGAAACCAACTTTTTTCCCAAATCAATTTAATATTACTTTCTTCATTCATATTCTAACTTGAATAAAATTTCAAATGATTTTCTATTATGCTTGTTAATTAATGATAAAAGCACACACTTCATGAAAGATTTACTATAAGAAACTGTTCCTTCTAGTTAAAAATCCAATTCTACCTTTCACTACTCAAACCAGCATTCTGATACTTCTTCCAAAGAAATCTCGCATATAGTCTTAAAATTGTTACCAAAATGGCATAACGTCCCTTTAACAAGATGTCAAATTGTAAAAATATATATAAAATTCCCAAATATATAAAATTAACACAACTGTGAAGAAGGAAAAAATAATCCTCAAGCTTCTTTTAAATTAAATATTTCACAACACTTTGGTTTCCAAATACACTAGATACTTTTTTTATAATACCCAAAATTTTTTATCATATGTCATGCATATTTTTATTTGGAATAAAGAGAAACAGCTGTTTCACATTTTGACATATCATACATTTATGAAATTCAAGATCATTTCTTTAAGAAATCAAAAAGTAAAATGTTTGATTGCACTCTTAATGCTTTCATGCAATATTTGTTTTTGAAAGAAAACATGCCAATCATATTTCATATAAGTATCAGTTAATATTGGCTTTTTTGAAAATATGTCAATCATATTTCATGTATCACTTAATACTGGCCTTTTTCTAAGTAAAAATATATGATTAAAAATGAATTTATTGATTTTAATTGTGCTTCAAAATTTATGTATCTAATAATTCAGGATTCAGGTATACAATAATTTCTGTTTTGCTTTATATATATGTACACATGCATATTGCTATACAGAATTATATTTTAGGGCTTCAGTTGTTCAAAATCTTAGCTCAAATATTACTCGATTTTTTTTTTTTTTTGCTCCCTTCAGTTTCAGTTTGTTGAAGTCAACTATGTCTTGCCACCACAGGTCAGACCTTCCAGTAATTAGTAAGTCCTTTCCTGTCTGAAAAGCATTTGAAATAAAAATACTTAGAAACTGATTTTAAAAAAAATTCTTACAACTTCATTATAAACAGTAAAACTACCAAATTTCTGCCAGCACTCAGTAATATTTTGGTTTACATTTTCCCTAAACAGTTTTGAGTAATACATCAAATCATTTAGAACTGCAAATACAGATGATACCCTTTCAAAAAAATTAGAAAAATTAACATGCTACAAGATCATTTTACAAAACAAACACTGATATCGCATTTCTTAAAAAAAATTAGATGTTAAGACAATAAAGAAAATAATAAAATTTACATCGCCTTGAGGCCAATTAATGTCTTCTCTCCATAAGTGTAAAAAATACATAAAAATTATCCGAGCACTTACAAAATTGTATTTACTTAAAAAAATACCTCTTGTTAGTCTGTAGAAAAACTTCCATTTATATTAGGAGCAAATTTAAATAGAACATTCATTGAACATGTTTACATTTTCATAATGGAAATCTATATTCATGTCATAGCTATCAACCTTGAAAAAAAAAGTTATCAAGCAAAACTAGAAGCTTCAGGTACATTTTTGCACTGTACCAACTCAAATTCATTTTATAATGCATTGCTTAGGTTACTGAACTATTTTATACTGATGTAAAAATGTATTTAATTAGATATCTGAAGTTTTTATGTTCTTTGTCTAATATGTTGTAATTTTCTTGCATTTTGATACTGAGAAAATACTAATTACAGAAGAAATGCTTTTAAATCCCTTCAAAATAAGAGGAAAATAAAAATGTACGTACAATTGCATAGGGTGTACCAATTATTGATATAAAACACAAATTTTTTAGCTATTAAACACTGCTTGTGTTCTCATTAAATGCTTTAGGAAAATTCTAATCAATATGTAAATGAAAAATTATGCTGAAAACAGCTAGGGATGACAGAAAGAAGTTTCATTAGCGCAATAAATTAACTATTTCCCCCATTGATAAAGGCTAAAAATTAAGAGATTGGGAAATGTGAGTAAAATCCTTGGCAGCTGTCATATCACAATGCAGCTTAAAACTACAGAATATATTAATTCATACAAATGGGCTTCATATTTTTTTGTGATGCTTCTTTGTTATATGCTTTAATCAGACGGCGAGAAATAATTTTTAAATAATTCCAAGAAAATTTATATTTTTCATGCTAAGGTATCACCCACACCAGAAATTACTGAACTTTCCTACCATTTTAAGCTACATAAAATAACATCCAATTTAGATTTGGTGACAAATCATATAGGTATCAATTTTTCAAAAAACTTCAACATATTTAACCTTCATGTTTCAGAAAGTAAACACAGCATTTACGTTAGTCTTGATATTGATATTAATGGAACAGAAAACATTGCTCACCTTTTTTTTTAAACTTGACTGAAGGAATAGAAATTCATATGTTGTAAGATGTAAATATTTTTATTTTTCTATAAAAAGACACAGGACATACACAAATTGAATCCAAGTTACTGCGGAAAGTTAAAGATGTAACAGACATTTTGAAGAACAGTCCTTGTTATCCAATAAAATTTTAAAGTGTACAATTAAGTAGCAATCCTTCAATATGAAAATTGTTTAAAGAATAAGAGCCAAACCAATTTGCATTGTTCATGATATACTATTAATTTGTATAAATAATCATGTCAGAGGTCCCTACATACAACCTGCAGCATAAATAGCCCGCCTTAATGTTTTCTATAAAATTAACAAAATTCTACACAAACTGTTTGTAACAACAGATGGCATTTTACATTCAAGTCTTAAGGTATACTGGCATAAAATACACCCTTGAAAATGAATTTTCTTGCAATCAGCAGGTTCAATGCTCGACAACACCTGAGCCATAACACAGGAGCAGTGAAAATGATCCTATGTATTTGCATTATACAGTGTGAGGTGAGAAATGAAGACTCAGAATGTTATTTACACAACTTAAGTTACTGTAAAATATATACATATGTTTTAACATCCAATGACAAGGAACTTTTGTTGTTTAATATGCAGAAAGAAAATTTTAGGAAAAATGTGTTACTAGCAGATCCTTTCAAATATAAAACATTCATAATAATTCGAGTTTAAAAAGGTAAGACTTTAAGCTAAATTTTGCTGTGCCATTTAAATTTGAAAGATGGCAATCTTAAGACTATATGATATAAAAAATGGATTCTCAACTTGTAATTAAAACCCACCCAATAACAAGTGAACTGCTGAACTATTTGTAATAATGTACTGGAATCAAAATGTGAAGGAAGACCTCCCAATGATGTAACTATAAAATTTTCAATTTTGAAGAACACTTTCTTTGTAACAAAAAAGTAAATAAAATACTTAAAAAAACACATTTATATTTGTTCTGATAATGCATCACATATGTGTGCAACTACTAACAAGAATTCCTTTTTTATTGGAATGTGCCGTGACACAGACAAATGTTTTTACAACACTGGACCAAGCATGGACACGCTACATGAAAAAAAGAGTTCTGCACGAATTATAGCATAAGATGAAGTGGATAAAACACACAGGCTATGTACACCTTCCGGAGAGGCTGAATCATGGGACACGACTGCAAGATGGCTCGACTTAAAAATTATCAATATGGCTGATAGCCTTGTCCAGTAGTGGTGCCACGACGTGCCTTCCCAGGGGCAGGCGGCTGCTGAGCACCTATTGGTTGAATAGAAAAAGAGATTTTAACATTAATTTATCAACTACAAGAAAAGTAAAGATATTTTATAGTATGACGAATAGGAAGATTCTTTAAAGAAATTGAGGAAGTTAGTAAGAAAAAATTAGTATTATAATTTTAACACAGCATCACTATGCTAACACGGCAGAACCTTTTTAACTTGTAGCTTGTTTTAAATTGTGCTAAGTGTATTCTATATGCTAGCATACCTCTTGAAACTCTAAATTCAAAATCACAATTATCAAATAATTTTAAATGAAAAGGGGGAAATTTATTTTTAGGAAAAGTAATAAGCCTATATTCTTTTGAAAATAATTTTTATTGAATACAAAACAGTATCGAGAATACGATGCGAGCTCATAAGCAGTAAAACTGTCATCGCATAAAACATTCAACCTGAGATATATAAGTAATTATTGACAAACACATTATACAAAGCAGTTCTACTGATTAATAATTTCTAGGGTTCTGCTGGAAATTACTTACCATAACCACCAGAGTAGCCATTCTGACCATAGCCACCCCAGCCATTATAATTGTAACCACCATAACCAGGACCGTAGCCTGATCCATAACCACCATAACCTCCATAGTCTCCATATCCACCATAACCTCCATAGCCGCCTTGGCCACCATAACCTCCATATCCTTGCATACCATAATCTCCTTGGCCCCATCCACCAGCAGGACCACCTGTTAGAACAGAAATAAAACTATTAAGTACATATGCATAATTTATCAAGATTTAAGTCTAAAAAACAACAATCAAAAAATGGTACATAAAATGCTAAGATTTATGTCATTTTACCTCTGCCTCGACCTCGGCCAGCTATGCCACCACCGCGTGCCATCCTTGGGTCAGGTTTGGTGGTAGCTTTCTTAACATCACACTCCTTATTGCCAATCTTCTGTTTGGGTTGTTTACAAACCTGGTCTACAGTCATTTCATCTTCAAAGGTTACAAAACAAAACTGTCTCCTCTGATTTTTCACCTTATCGAAGGGAAGCTCTACTGTTTCAACCTATTTAAGAAAAAAATTATAAATAAAAAAAAATCTGAAGTTACATTATTTTATGAAATATAAAAAATTCTGAAATAGCACATTAATTCAACACTTTGAAAGGAAATAAAATTGTATCATAATTTCAGCAAAATATACCATAGGGACTGGAAAGTAATGTCGCTTTCTTACATTAAATTCAAATTAATAAACTTTCATTATTAATAATATAATCACACTCGTTATCAACAGTCTTTTGTTATCTAGTGTGCATATTTTCAATGCCAGGCCGATAAAAATCAATAGGTTTTTACAGTAAAATAGCTCGATGGCATTTTGGACATCATCCAAATTTTCAAATATTTTGCCACTAAGAAAATGTATTAGGAATTGGAATTAATGGAAATTCGAGGGTGCGATATCAGGTGAGTATGGTGGGTGAGGCAGTGCCTCCTACCCCAATTTATTAGTTTTTCCGGCGTTTGTCTTGCACAGTGCAATCTTGCATTGTCGTGCTGCAGAATGGCACCTTTTCTGTTGACAATTGCAGGATTTTTTTAAAGATTGGTTCACTCGATCCAATTTTTCACAATAAAGGTATGCATTAACAGTCTGTCCAGGTTTCAAGCAAATCAAAATGAACAATTCCGCAAAAACACCACCAAACACATAGAAGCGCCTTTTTGGGATGTAAACCCTTTGTAACCCCTATTAAAACTGCCTTTTGCATTTTAGACCCATAATTTTTATTTGGAAAATCATGGTGCATTCGTAATACCCTGCTCCGGGAGTTGCGTATTGAAGTCACAGTACAATTTACTATGGACAGTATTTACGGATGATGTAAATACTTTCCAAATTGCAAAACTCAACAAAAAACTGAGTTTCTTTCTGACTTCCAACTTACTTTTGAGCTGGTACACAACTACTTAAGTTTTCAAAAGTAGATCTAAAACATGTGCCAAAGGCCATTTGAAAAATAAAAAGGAAGACGTTAAAATTCAATAAACACCACACCAGTAGGCAAAAAATAAAGTGAAAGTCATGCAGTTCGAATTTAGTGATGAAAAAACTAAATTAAAAAGGTCCTTGCAAGCGCAGAAAGTTCAAAATTAAGGCGGGGGGATTGAACCCATGATCTCGATATAGGGAGAAAACCTCCTCTATTCTTTACCACTGGGCTACGATCGCTTATGTAGGTGTCAGAAAAGCTATGTACTTGGTCACCTGATTAACTCCCATTTTCGGCAAAGTCAACAAGTCTCTGCACTGCTTTATTCTCGACTAGAGATTTTGCTTTTTGAATTTTTCAATAAGTGCGACCACAGTTTCTGAATATTTTCATCTAGTACCAATGACATGGCATCATTAATAGTTTTTGGAACTTTCCTTGGGGAATGTTAAAATAATTTTCACAATGAATAGAAACTATTTTAATGTATAAAGTAATGGGGAAAACATATCTTACCAAAATAAGAGAATCCCTTAATTTTTTATTTTTAAAATTTACATTACTTGTGTCCCACAACACATTTTCATTATAGAAATCTATTAGTTGAAAAATTTGAGTTTCGCTCCAACGAAATGCAGCCATGTTTACTATACCACATGAGGAGAAAAGCATGTGATCACTCAAAGCAATCTTATTGGCTAGAATCTCAGATTTTATTGTACATTAGTGAGCAGTGAACACCAGTTCTGTAATCGCGACACAAAACATGACCAATTTTTGGCGCATGCGCAAATCCTTAAAATTGTTGCTCTACGAGAAAGTCGGCCGAGAAAGATCGCTTTGTGTAGACGGGCCTTAACAATCAATAAAGTGTTGACCCCTTCCAGTTGCTGAATATCGCACACATAGCGATTTTCCATATGATTACACAGGGTTCTAGCCACATTTCAGTTAAAAAAATAGGCACCTATAAGCACTTTTCAAGCACATTTTAAGAAAAAATAAGTACCTACCTAATTACATTATACCATACCTGCCAACCTCTAAAGATAAAAATTCAGAAGATTTCTCCCCCAAATTCAGAAGAACATGAAGAATTAATATCATGCTTTGATATTAAAAAAAACAAAAATTTATACAAATAGAAAAAAAAATTGTACTTACAGTAAATCTCTTTAAGTAGTAACTAAAAAATTTATTAGGAAACATAAAACAAGAACTTAATGTTAAATAAAAAAATTATTGCAATGAATTTAGAGTGCATTTTCTTTGGCTTTAGCCAAAAATTCTTTGGAAAATTTCCTGTCATAACAATTAGTTTCCTCATAACATTTAGCAATTAAAATGTTTTCTAGAGTTTTTGGTGAAATTGAAGAACGAAACATAGTTTTGTTTTTCTTCACAACACTGAAGACTCTCTCGCACTCAGCATTACTGTGTGGAATTACGAGAATAGCACATAAAACTCTTGCTAGTCTATCATATTTTGGTGTTCCATCAGCTCTTTTTATTCTTTTTAAGGTACCAACGAGGACATCAAGTCTATCTTCTCCAGAACTGGCAAAGTCTTCAAACTGTGCAGCAGAAAATTGGTTCTGTAGTTCATCTAAAGCATCATTATGGCATTCATTTTCTTTAATTGTTAACAAAAATGGAAATTTATCAATAAAAAAAACGAATCTTTTCAAAAGATGAATTTTCAATTTGTTTCAAATTTGCCACTTCAGCATTTAAAAGAACTTCATTTTGCAAAGGAAACTTCCTTACAATGTAATCACAGGCTGAGGAAAAGTACTTTCTAACACATTGAAAAAATTCTTTTTTCTCATGATCTTTCAAAGAATTTACAAGTTCCCTGGTTTGATTTCCAATTATAAGATCATTGTCATCCTTTTGATTTGCCAAACTATTATAGGCAACACGAATCAACACACTGTTTTTCACAACGGACGGTTTTACAAACTTAGTATAAAGTTCTTTCAAAAGATCATTAAGAATTTGGATAAGCAGGGGAGATTTTGGCGAAGCTGATTGTAGAAGGGTATTTACACTTTCAAAAATCTTAATGGTACTTAACACAAAACTACAATATGCTTTGTTCAAATCCGAAGAAAGAAGATAGAAAATCCTTTCCTCCCGGCTAATAGAAGACTGTTTCTTCTTCCCTTCAACTTCTTTAACAAAGTTGACCTTTGAGGAGTCTTCTAAGCATTTTCTTTTTAAAGGGTTTGATTCTGTGTGTTGGCTTTTCCCTTTTAAAGCATTTTGATTAGAAGCAAAGTTGGTTTTCGGAATCTTATATGCCGACAAATTTGATGGGATCTGTGGTTTGTTTTGGTCTCTTCGTGGAAATATTTTAGCAATGCATCCCACTGTTCAATAAACCTTCCTAGCGCTCTGCCTAAGGATAACCATCTCGTGCATACATGTTTCAGAATTTTTCTCGTTTCACCAGAGCACAGTTCTTGGAAATTCTTTAGGTTTTCTTTCCTTTTTACACTTTTTTCCAGATAGAAAAACACATCAATCAGAAGCTGGTCAATATTTAATGGTAAAGCAGCTGCAGCTTTTTCTGCTGCCAAATTAATTAAGTGGCATGGGCATCCAATAACAATTAATTCATTTTGTTCTTTTTTGAGGAAAGAGGCTACACCCTTTTTGTCACCCACCATGACATGAGCATTATCTGCACCAAATGAAATGCAGTTTGATATTGGGATGTTAAGTTGTTTCAACTCATTAATTACCAAGGAGGCAATATTTTCCCCCGTAGCATCTCCATTTAACAATGGAAGACACAAAAGATGAGTTTCATTTCATTAGAAACATCACAGAAATATGTGACAACGATGGATGGGGTAAAGCTTCCAATCGCTGTTGTTGCTGCCATCGATTGACACCCAAAATGCTGAATTCTGGAGTGCAGCTATTGTTTTACTTTGTGCATCACAAGCAATTTCGTTCACAATAGAAGATGTTTTTGTGCGAGCACAAGCATATTTCTGAGCAATCTTGAGAGTCGGGAAACATCCGTCTGAAAAGTTGACCGGCGTGATCGGCAGCGCTTAGTGGCACGTTGTGTTCGATGAGGAATGCAGAAAACAAACACTCTGCCAAAATGACATCGGCATCCGAATTCGTAAAAAAAATCATCCACTTTCTTTGACGTTGTCGAAGCCGAAGCAAGCATTAACTTCTTGCTTTTTTAGACTTAACATGCTTCACAATGTCGCTTCTTCCACCGTGATTTATTATGAAGTCACACATGCACACGTTGCAAAATGCATAGTTATTTCCTTTGAAGGATTCTTTAATTGTTGGAAATTCGGCTTTGTAGGCAGGCCGAAAATATTGAGAATACGGTTTTTTTGAACTCACTTCGTAAAAACGACGTATTAAGAAAATTCGTAGCATGTGCAAACAAACAAACAAAAAAAAAAAAAAAAAAAAAAAAAAACAGAATGCTACAATCCACGCTCGCTGAGTAATTAATTCCCTTGCTGCTGAAGCGAACGCGAAAAAAAAAATAATCTGGCACCCACAAAGAAAAGAGTGGGAGAAACAAGTTCAGCGCATTGGATTGGCTGGTTAAGCGGCGAGTTGGGAGAAACCGCAGGTTACTGGATTCAAAGTAGTCAGTAGTTGGCAGCAAAACAATGCAATTGGCAAAAATTCTAAAATTTTGACAAAAATCACTAAAAACAGTTAAATCGTAAGGGAAATAAATCGTAAAAAAATGGATTACGATCCTAAATTCGTAAAGACAAACACATTTTCGTAAAAATTACGAAAAATTCATAAAAGTTGGCAGGTATGTTATACACAACTGCATAACCCTAAAAGAAAAATTAGACTTGTAATTTAAAATATGAGAAATTCAGTATTTATTAAGAGAGAATGAGCATTACTCAACCATGGAAAACAAATACATTCTTTTTTTTTTTTTTTTAATTTTAAAGTTCAATATACAGAACTAGTTTACAATGAGGAAAAAAAATTATGCAGAACTAAATCATATTACAAAATTCAATGAAATTTCAGTTCAAAACAGAGAAAACAAATAGGCCAT